ACCACTTCTTTGCAGGTGGAGAGTTGCACCAAGAAAGTGCGAAAACTTAGTCTTACATGCAAGTGTGTGGCGCGGCAGGCTGGCGAGAAATGAAAGAAAGGGGACGGAACTGTCGAAGGTCAGGCTTTCAACCTTCTGGCCGTCAGAAGCGTGCTGCAAGGAACAGTCCGCGGCGGAAGCGCCGACAGGCGGGGGATCAGCAGTGGCTGGAGCCCTCACAGAGGGGCAAGGGGGGCCGCAGCGCCAAAAGGAAACACGGATTGGCTGATGGAGGCGCTCTCGGAAGGGGACACAGGAAGCGCAGGCCGGGAGCCTCGACACTATATCCAGAAACCTTAGGGGGATTACTTGGGGGGATCCATGCCCACACTCCTGTTGACAGGCACGCGCGAAAGGCTGGAGCAGGCACGGGTCTTGGTCCACTTGCCTTTTGCCTTGGGCTTTCGCTTCTTCCATCCACCTTCCTCCTCCCCGTCCTTTGCCTTTGCAGGCGGTGGGTCGCTGACTACATCTGACCTCCGCTGGCTGATCAAGTCGAGTTCTCGAAGGTAAGCTAAGGAGGTCGTGACCCGGCAAGGGGGGCAAAGGCACGGGCTCGGCCCCCGACTGCAAGGAGGCTCCGCGTGGGTGGCTCCTCTTGCAGGGAAAGCAGATAGCCGACGTCCATCGATCCGCTGTCCAACGATGCCTGTTCCAGGCACACACAAAGCAGGGCCATGATGTCTAGGCAGGCATCCATGTGGCCGGCTAACGCTTGATCGAGGCCCAGCCGAGACCTGCCACTGTATGAGGGCAATGTTCTTGACTTGCCCGTACCCGCCAAAACGCTCCATGTACTTGGCCACGGATAGGCCATTTGCTCGCAGCTCCGAAGGCTCGAGGTCGGCACTCTCTGTCGGGTCCAATCGACGGGCGGTAGTTTGTATGACCTTTGTAAAGAAAACTACCTTTTTCGATGCCAACTCAGCTTGGCCCTTCCGATGGCTCCACGCGATCCGCCTGAACTCCCTGAGACTGAAAGGTCGAGCAGGGGGTCCATGGACCCCCCTTGCACGAGGTGGCCAACTAAGCTTGTCAAGGCAGCGATCTGGTCTCCATTCTTTGCCAAGATGCCCCTCTGCTTCGATAATCTCGGCAGGCTGGCGACTGCACTACAGAGGCAGAAGTACGGCTAGGGCTGTCTCCAGGCGCTCCGCCAAGACAGCAGCGGACATCTTCCTTTGGGCTGGGGTCTGCACCTTTGCCTTTGCTTTGCTCTTTTGCTTTGCCGGCGGCCTTTGCCTTTGGCCCAGCGGCCCCCGGATCCTCCCCCTCGTTGAGGGAATAGAATTCCCCACGATCCACCCCCCTCAGCCATTGGTCGACCATTGGCAAGAGGTTCGGCACATAGGGGAAAAGATCGTCCGGCTGAAAGGCTTCTGCAGTGAGAGGCAAAGCGACGTCTGCAATGCTGAGGTTGGCACAGATGGCTTCGCTGCAGTCTATGACAAGCACTGAGAGACGAGCTCCATGCTCCACCTGACCCTCCTCGGTGGTAATGGCGGCAGCACACTCGAAGTACTCGGACCTGCCTAATACCTCGGAAGCTGGGGCCGTCTGAGCGGAGGCGACAAGCTCCTCGTCGAAGAAATGGCCGGGCACACACAGCAACAGCCCCTCCTGCCTTTTCAGCAGGCAGATGCAAATGGCTTCCACCACGGGCGGGCCACCATCCTCCTCCGGCCACCCCAGTACAGGGAGAGCAGGATCTCCCACGCCGGCGCAGGGAACTTGAGAAAGGTTCATTGCTGCAGTGGGACGGCAACCCCACAGGCGTCACAGAAAACCTGGACTTCAAGCAATGAGGCAAAGCTGTGCGACAACGTATACTGGTTGCTGGGCCGGCCCACAATGGCAAAATAGGCGGCTGAGGTGGAGACCAAGGCAGGGTTCTCAAGACCAGCCAGATGAAGACCGGAAGGCAACAGGCGGAGATGATGGGCGAAGGCAGGCAGTGATGCGCGGCTGTGCTCAGGCGCACCCCTCTAAAGGACCCCTTAAGATTATAACCAAAGGACCTACCCAAAAGGTGAGCTCGGTAACACCCTCAATCATACAGATATCCCGCTAGACGGGAGGCTGGGTACCTAGGTGCCTGGCCAGGCGAAAGGTTTGCAGGGGACCTTGGGGCAGCACGGGAAAGGGATGAGGACCAGATACGAAATCCAACCCACAAAGTTGCCAAAGAACCAATAAGGGCCCCAGAAGACAACCCAGCAACAAAAGCTGGGAGAGTCGAACCTCCACAGTAGATGGGGCACTGAAGGCTCCGAAGCTTTCCCAAAAGCGAAAAACCGAAGTCGACCCAACCTTGCATAAGCACGAAAAGCTTGAGCCAAAGTCATGCTCATGCCTGATTTTTAGGGTTTAGGGTTTAGGGTAGGGACTATGTAGGGACAATGGAAAATAGAATGGAAGCTACTATTTAGGTTTTAGGGTTTAGGGTAAGGGCTATGTAGGGATAATGGAAAATAGAATGGAAACTACTGTATTTCCATCCACCAAATGGTTCTTACCAACAACAGGTCAGTAGGGGTCCTCCATATGGACAGCATATCCTGTTAGTCTTTACTACCACCCTAAACCCTAAACCCTAAACCCGGGTCTCCCATGCTAGGCTTGTGGGCCGAGCCTTCTCTGCTGTCGCAGATTTCTGCTGGTTGGCATCCTGGGTCATGTTAAAGGCTGTTTGACTGCAACTAGGGATTAGGGGTTTAGGGGTTTAGGGTCCATTTCTATTGAGCACAAACTCCTGCCAAAGGCTAGTGCAAAGTCGGTCCGGATCCACTTGTTATCTCGGAGTTGAACAAATCCCGCCTGCCGTCGCGCAGACGAGGAAGAGATAGTATAGAGCCTCAGCCACAAAACATCTGGGGAGCAGATTTGGAGCCCATTGACAGCCTCATTAGAAAACGGTACCCCCGCTGGCAACCATAATTTTGTCGACCTACATTGGGCTATAACCCGAGTCTTCATTTCACTTTCAATGTTATTTTCCAATTGGTGTTCAATTCTAGAGATCATATGACAGAATTCGACTACAAGTAGTTTCGGGCAAGCACAAATGCGCAAATGTTTCATATGAACTGGCGCACCTGCCGCAGCATCTCGGTACGGGTCCTCAAATTGCAGCTTGCGCTACCCTGGCCAAACTTCAAGCAGCACAACCGCAAATAACCAACCTAGCTTTGTGAGCAAGGCACTACTTGAGGGCAGCGTTGTCAAGAGACATAACAGTAAGGAGATAAGAATAAGGTTGAGCCGAGGCTGCAGGCACAGCAGCAACATGCATCTCGAAAAAATGGCTCAAGACTCAAGGCTCTCATTGCCCGTGGTGCGGCTTGCCTTGAGCATCTTCCACAGCCGCCTTCCAAGCTTCAGAAGTAAAGCGATTGACAAATTCCTAACGAGAGCGCAGCCGTCGCTATGTATGAGGTCTTCTGACTGCTCTTATTCGCACTCTGCGACCGATGCTCTGATGGGCTAGGCTGAATGTTCTGGATTGCAAAGCTGCCAAATTCAGAGACACCCACACAGCCAGCATTGTCACCAACTCTGCGGCATATCACCTTGCATGCTGCAAGCTGCTCGTGGATCTCAGCCAAAACCTGGGATTACTCAGACCCGGCAAGGCACGCATACAGGATGTGTGCCAGCTGCAGAGAAACTCTTGTAGCAAAGGCTTGACCTGCTTTTGCTTGACTCCTCAACGGTCCGGTCCAGGAACCTCATCAATTTCGCGCCCCTTCGACAACAGCTGGTTCACCTGTGTCGGGACACGCAGCACGCAGCAGACCAGCGCCGACCACCAGCAACTGAGTTTATGAGCACGGCAATGGCGGCTGGATGAGGCAGGATGAGGGGCATGGCAGTGTCCTGCGGCCTTGGCCTTCAAACCCAAAGGCTTTCCTTTAGCCTTCGGCTTAGCCTCACGTGCCAGTTGTCAAAGCGGACTTTTGCTGTTCACAAACCCATCCAACAGGGCAGCAAAAGATTTGGCGCCTCTCCAGCATCAGGCTTTCCCTCTGCTTCTGCGGGCTCCTCACGGCATAAGCTGGAATGATTTAGGACGTGCTTCAGTGCACGTGGGATCACAGCCAGGTGAAGTAGCAGTGCAACTCATGGCTCCTTGGCCTTGCTTTTTGCCTTCGCCTTTGCCTGGCAACGTTCGAAATGGCTCCCAGCATCTGTCGGAAGCTGGTCTCGCTGGCCTTTGCCTTTGCTTTGGCCTTGCCCTTGGCCTTTGCCTTTCAAAAATCGAGAAATGAAGTGAATCACGTCATTCAGATAACGTGATGTACTAAGGTTCATAGCACTTTGGCTTAGGTTTTTGCCTTTGCCTTTGCTTTGGCTTTTCCTTTTGCCTTGGCTTTGGCGACTGCCTCATGCAGCTGGAATTCCGAGATCACCAAGGGAGCTTTAGGGTGAATGCGCTCGTGTGCAGTTTCCTGCTGTGCAGTCAGGCCTTCTCAACTTTCACTGGCTTCGTAGTTGTCTTGTCATTTTCCACCTGCAGAGCAACCATCACAGATGGTCCAACGTGCAGCCATCTTGCCTGTTCCTCGATGAGGGAGCCCTTCACTTCTTCAGCCTCAAGTGGACATCGAATGACATCGAGCTGATACGCCCTTTGCTGTGAGAGCCTCTGCCATGTGGTCAGACAAGGCAGGTTGTGCAGCCCAGGTGACTAGAGGGACTCTACGGGGTCGCTTGGGCCAAGCGTCGCAACGAGGAAAGCTGACACATCACTGTGTTAAGCTTCCGGGCCAGATTTTGAGATCTCTCATGTATTGCAAGCTAAGTGCGAAGCAGCTTTTCTAGTCTGAATCCATGACCCATCCAGAGTCCAGGCGCCTATGCCCCACCGTGTGAAGTGGTTCAGGGCGGTTTTTGCACAAACACCATAGAAAAACAAGGCAACTTGTGAGCGTGAAACTTCCCCTCCACCAAAAGCAGAGCTATCAGTCAGCGACGCAGCGATGTGTGGCCCAGATGGAGCGCTCCATCTCTGAAAAGGACGCCACATGCTCATACCTTGGCTAGCAATGCCGGCACGCAGCTGCAAACTGCCAGGCAAGACACTAGCCATGACTAGCCTTCTCCTCATGACCCCACTTTGGCGCATGTTTTGTTGGCCGCAGGTTCTCTGGAAACTTTCGGAAGGTTCCTTGAGGCCGGTGACCAGCATGTTAGAAAAGTGCCTCTGGGCCAGTCAAGATTTTCTTCTCCCCTTTATTAAGAGGCAGGGTTCTGCATTCACAACATCTCCCAGCGCCTCCGCGGTCTGCATGTGATGTTCCATGCCACCTCTGCGCCCTCAAACGAACTGCAGTACGCCTAACGCTGGCAAGCTTCCTACAAATTCCCATTCATCGCCTTGCCTGATCCGAGCCGGTTGCCCCAAGGGCTTTAGTTAGCGCACGCTTAGTTGCGAATTTCAGACTTAGTTGCGGCGACAATGGTAATGCTGAAATCGTTATCGGAACCGGTGAAATGTTTTATTCAACGGTCATTGAACAAAAGCATTGTGAGCACTGATTGGCGTAACGCCGGGCGGGCTACGTGAGACACTCTGGAAACGACCATGCGTATGACGATACCAACTGGTGCGTGGGGATTTTTTCGGGGAGGGGGGGGGAACCGCATGATTGTGATGACGATGACAGACATAAACGAAAGAGCCAATCACATGTTTTTAGACGAGTCACCACCGCGCCAGATTAGGCGATGACGGGAACCGCCCTTCCTGAGACATCTTTGTAAATTGTTCTGCATCTCTGGCATCTGGAAAGTACCTGGGCAGGCGTGAACAGGTCTGAGATCGTTTCCCCTCTTTATGCCAGCGCCAGCATGCATAATTTGACTGCACCCCCAATGCTTTGGCACATGGTTGGACTCAACTCAGGCAGCACACCCACCGAGGTAGGGCTGCATTTGCAGAAGCTCCTCAAGTTGGCAGCTTGGTGAGCTGCCGTCCCGCGTCGAAAGACTTGTTGGGGAGCGCGCTGCCCCAGCGATGCTGGGTGCTGCACTGGGTGTTGCACTGGGTGCCGCGCTCGCTGCGGCGCTTGGGTCCGTGCTCTGCGTTGAGCTGGGAGATACCAGTTCCACTGTCACAGGCCCGTCGTTGCAGAGCTCCACTTGCATCATGGCGCCAAAGCTGCCTGTGGACACCTTTTCAGGCGCAAGTTCGCTCCGACACTTTGTCACAAAGGCCTCATAGAGACCTTCTGCCTGGCTGCCACCCATGGCTTGGTGGAAGTCGGGCTTGGGCTTCTTAAAGGTTGCAAAGAGTGTGAACTGGCTGACAACAAGGAGCTCAAAGCCATTGTCCACAACAGAAGATGCCCACTGCTTCTTGGAGTCCTTAAGATCAGGCCACAAGCGGAGCTTTGCAACCTTCGCGGCCAGATGGTTTACCTGTTCCAGCCCATCGCCTTGCTCAATCCCAAGGAGCAGCAACAAGCCTCAGCTCAGAGGCTCAGAGCAGCGGACACGCCAAGTGCACTCAGTGCTGCCATGCTTGCATGCTAGCGTATGCTAGCCATAAGAACCTCCGCTGGGCAGCCTTTCCCAATTCTTGAATGGATTTGCTCGTCAATCAGGACGCTAGCTCGCGTGACCCTCTGGATTACAAGCTTCATGGCTGAGGACGCGGTTCCGTGTTGCTTGGCTGGCAGCCGGGGCAACTTCAATCTGCCTCAGACTTCTGAACGGTTTTGCTTCATCAAGAAGGCAATACTCGTAGCCCTCAGTGAGCCCTCCCTTCTTGTGGGGAGTGGACAGCTGACAGAATGAGCTTGACGAGTCAAACGTTACAAACTCTGCCACATTCTGGCCGCTGACAGGCATTTGCTTCGAGCTTTAAGGACCCTCTTACCTGCGAAAGGGCCGCAAGCATCCATGCCCGACGTAGCCTTGCACCCAGGCTTACTTCTTAGTTCTGAGATGTTGGGCCCTCTAACCAGATGCTGGTGGCCAAGCAGAAGCGGTTCATTAGCAAAGGGTAAAGCCTTTGGCAGCTTATGGTACATGGCCATCTTTGGGGCCTCTCTTCATTTCTCAAGTTACGAACTGGACCAAGCGAGGGTTAACCCTCGCCTCGACCCCGCCTGGAGCATGTAGGATATCTGTATTTTCCTCTCACTTCAAATACAGTCATGACAAACAGTCTGCATGCCATCCACGGACTATGGGTTGAGGCGCTGTCTTGCAGACACGTCTTGTATCCTCAAGACAGTGCGGGACACAACCAGACCACGCCGGCTCATCAGCTGCAGCCACGACTTTCGGCGGCATCAGACAAGCCGTCGGCCTTGAAATATGGGCGTCTTGTGCCATGAAAAAATCCCTCGGCAAAGCCTGAAGTGGGACCCTATAATCTCCTTACACCCCCTTTACATCCCTACAAGAGTCCTGCCTGGTAAAGATACGGGCAAAGTCTGCAGTTGCGGTGCCACAGAGCCTTACGAAAACCAGCAAGATTATCAAAATCAAAGCAACTTCGGCAAATACAGAGCTGATCTGGCGCAAAAAGTGGCTATCACCAAGTAGCTTTGAATGGGTACGGCCATGGAGGGAGCCATGGTCCCAGGAGCATATGTTGGGATCCTTGGCGATTCTCTTCATCTTTAGAATCGAAACTAAACAGAAGGTGCCGATGCCGATGCCTCAAGCTCGCCGGCCTTGGCGGTGTTGCAATCCCCAGCACCTGTGCTCTTCGCTTGGAGGAACATGTAACGTACAACTAGTGTCCCCGACACGCATGCCGCCCCACCTGTGCCTGGCCCGGCTGGTACCGCCGACTGCATAACAAAGCACAAGCACGTTCACAGACCAAACCCTTCCACTGCTTCCCCTGCTTGGCCTAGGTGGCCTAGTGCCTCCGCAAATGCCTAGCCCTTTACAGGTAAGCAGTCCTCGAGAGCGGAAGTGTCACAACGCTGGTGGCGGGAAAAGGTGGAGACACTCCAGTCCCTGCCGCACTGACGGGACACCCATCAGATGCAGTTTGTCAAGTGGCACAAGCTTGAAGAGTCAGCCCCGCGGCCCGGCATTTCTGCGGCCTCCCCTGGTAAAGTCCACAACGCTTGCGCTGCGCCGCGCCTTCTTGACAATTTGAGATGAAAAGATATATTCAAAGTACTATTGTAGATTCAGAAATCATACAGCAGACTTTCGTTTTACCGATGCTGCTGGCCAGGCATTTGAGCTGCCTGCCCTCTCCCCAAAGGAAACAAAGGTAATCGAGTGAGGGACCCCACAGCTGCAGAACTTCTGCGTCAGTCCTCGACGGCTCTGCCAGTGTCTGGCAAGGAGGCCTCGCATTTCAATGCATCGCATGTTCGGCATGTTCCACTGGATTCGCACCCAGCCGGGGCAAGAACATCCAGCCGGCGAATTGAGGTGGTGGACCTTTCACATATTCCAAGGCCACATCCAATTGCAACATAGCGCAGGATGCCGACACACCCGCCACATTTGAAAAAAAAACAAAACATGAAGTGAACAGACTACTTGCAAAACGAGCACAACTTTAGCAACCTGCCTGTCTCGCGACAACAAGGCACCTTGGGTGGAGGCATCACAGCTGGCCAGTTTGCCAATGAAGCCTTCATTCGAGGCTGACCTCCCTCCGCCACCAGTTATGCCAGCAAATTTGCTGTGCCAATGTTAAGCACTTGGAGACCATGCTGCCGAGGAGCTCGCACCACTCATCGTTCCCTCTTGCACCTTGGACGCCAAAGGTGCGAAGGGAGATGCTTCTGTGTTTGAGCAGCATGCACCAGAATCTCTCGGTTCCTTCATCAAACCTTCACAGAAGCCGGCCCCAACAAAACCTTTACTCCAGGAACCCGATGTAAATGCGTAACACCTATGCAGGATTGTTGGGAAAAGCCTTTGCTGAGGGGTTGACAGACACCAGACTCTGCAACGGTGTGGCCAGGACTGGCAAAGGTTGCATTCAATAACAGGTCTCAGGTTCCCATGGTCCGTTCACAAAGGTAAGCTGTTCGGGACCCATTCTACTTGCAGAGGGTGAAGGGATGAGCTGTCAGCATCCCGGATCCAGCCTTCTGCGCAGCTTCCAGGGGCTGGGCTGCTCCCTGGACAGGATGTCAACACCTGGAGATCTAGAGAAACTAAGGCTTTCAGTCCACTGCATGTGGAATACACAGTAGGGCTTCGTGCCCTGTGTTGCTTGTCCTGAATGCTTTGTTTACACAAGGAAGCTGAGTGTGAACAGACTCAGTAAACAGTTCTGGGCGACCAGTCTAATACCAACACTTCACTAGACCCTTGTTTTTGACTGTCTCACTCACACCACTCAACTCCCACTCCCCAGCCGACCCTCCCGTTATGTCTTCCTTCCACCTAGCACCGAGCGTGTCAAGTCTAGGTTCAGATCAAAAACATGCCCGGCCTGGGCAGCTTCAGCGTCTCTCAAGGCCTCGGGGTGAAGCGCATGTTTTCTGCGCACTGCATTCATGTGCATTGACAAGCCTGCTGTACCGGCAGCGTCTGGATCTGCGGAGCCTTCAAAGCTCAAGCTGAGACTGTTCAGCTACTGCACGGCAATCATGTTTTGAGACTCTTGGTACTCAGGTACCCTCTTCCCACTCTGGAATTGGCGTGAAACTTGACATGTACCGCAGCACCTGTCCCAAACGAGACTCCAAAGATCTCCGGACCTGAACAAAACAGAAGTTAAAGCAGCTCGGGGAGGGGCTTCATATCGCAGGCTGCTGTGCCTCCCCTGGCGAGGAACCTCGCGAGGCGAATGCCTGGAGAAGGGCCAACAAGAAGTAGACCAAAAGAGCTCAGAAGCCTGCCTCCCGCTGTGGCGCAGCCATTGGCTGCCGCTCTGGCAGCGGCGGTACCTGGGCATTTGCTGATTGTTGTTTTACTTGCCTGCAACGCAGGCCGCGGAAATTCTCCGACCTGTGCAAGTGACGCCACCTGCGATGCTGGCTGCCTGTCCGGCAGCTGCACCACCTGCAGACATCTGGCCAATCTGTTGAAGCTGACTCCATGCACAACTTCTTCAACAAAATTTGATCTCGTCAGCAATCACGAGCAAGATCACACCGACCTGCTCGTGCGACTGTCCCAGCACTTGCCTATCTGGCAGCTGCGGCACCTACATGGACAGGCTGAAAAAGAGAGCATGCATTTGTAGGACCCCAACGGCATGTTTCGAGCCATCCCAGCCATCCCAGAAATGTCCAAGACTGTAAAGAAGGTTTAAGAAATTGCAGAGGTCTCTTGGCGGCGCTGGCCTGCCAGAGAGATGACACCTGTGCCACTGGCTGCCTCTCTGGCAGCTGTGGCACCTGCCAGCAGCTCCAAGAATCTGAGATATTGCTTTTGCCACGCGCAAACATTTTGACTTGTGCTGAGCTCCTGCTTCTTTTGTTGAAGTGTTTGCTGATTTCACAAGATTGGGATTGCAGAATGTTTGAAAAGAAAGGATCTGTCACTCACATGGGCGAAGCTATTGAGATAAACCGCGCGAGTTGTCTGGTGTAATGTGAATCAATGAATCCCTTGCAGCTTTGCACAGTAGGGCATCCCTTCCTGTTCCATTCTTCTGGCCTTTACAGGCTTGTCTCGGCTACACATGGGCTTGGCTTGCTTGCGACTGGGGAATGCCAGGAGTTCACGTGATCTATAGATCGGTCTGTTTAACAGCCAGAATCGCTCCCTTTGGGCCAGGGCATGAAGTACCAAGCCTTGAAAATCCTGACTGCTGAATCCGACTTCCGACGTGTCGAATCACATGTCACGTGCTATGTGGCTTGAAGACGTTGAGGATAAACCAAATTAAGTAATGGGCAGATGAGCAGAAGTTCCAGCATGTTCGAGGCAAAGCGCAGATCCAAATTACATGTGTAAGCTGAACGAAGTACACAGCACAGGTTCCTTCTCTTGCCATGGAGAACCCAGCAGACAATGCATGACACACAGCAAAGCGCATGTCGCACAGACGTTCTGCCTCAGATGCTATGGTCGCCCTTCGCTCTGGAAGAGGCGGAACCTTAGCATGGAGGCTTGCTTTTGCCTGTGCTTCACAGCGAGCAAAAGCTGTTGCCCGTTCGGCCTGTGCCAGTGATGCCACTCGTGCAGCAAGTTCCGCCGTTGGCTGCCTGTCTGGCAGCTGCGGCACCTGCTCGCATCTGCAGGTAGCTATGGCTTCAGAAAGAATGCAGTCCAGCTTGCATGCGTCAGTGTCTGTACAGAACAGGTTGTGTGGGAGCATCATGCTACTCGCTACTCCAAAGGAAGGCTGGTGGGCCGGACTCTGGCCTGTGCAAGCGATGCCACGTGTGCCGCTGGCTGCCTTTCTGGCAGCTGCGGCACCTGCAAGCACGAGATACGCAATGGCTGGTCCGAAAGGATCAGCACTAGCCACACCGCACAAACAGCTCTTCAGCGTTTAAGGGAACCTTCGCCTGTGGCATGGACACCGTCGGCCGTTCCAGCAACACCTGCAAGCAGTCCGCGGGCATTCTGCTCCACGTCACTGAAACAGCAGCTACAACAGCAGCTGAAGCCACCTGGGAGGGATCCAGCCTGCACGGAGGCAGCGCAACACAACACACATGATAACTGATATCGCATGCACACGCAGCTGACGATCCTGCCTGGGGCCAACTGGGGCCTCTCTGGCCTTGGCATCACAGCATCCGGCTACGAAGAGTCGAATGGGCAAGGCGCGCGCCGCACAGAGCTCCGCAGCCGCAAGCCGCAGCGCTGGCAGCAGCTCCGCATCCTGATAAAATGGGGCTGCGGTTGCTGCAACCTCGCGGTGACTCTGGGCGCAGTGCAGCATGGAGCCGGTCTCGCAACTCGGCCTGCCATGCAAGCTTTCGCACTCGCATATCAATTCAAGTCATGCACAATGCACGCCGCCTCCAATTGCTCTTCCTTTGCTTTCAAAGCCTGAGTCTAAACACGAACATAACAATCATCAAGCTTCAAAACTTCTTAGAGTGCTGCATTCACTTTCTCTATCTTCTGCTTGAGCTCTTCCTGCAACGCCTGGGCGAAATGCGATCCCTGGTGGTACAACCAAGAAAATGACCTACAATTGAAGACGAGCATATAAGGGTGAACAAAGCTACTGGAACAGCGGAGGTCTCCTCATGAAATACATCAAGCAAAATGCACAGCAAAATATGCCAGGCTTTGCTTTGGCTTGTGGACTGCAACAAACATCGTTAGACCATCTTTTACGTCAAGATCGGACAAAGGCCAGAGTTTCGGAGACAGTGTGTGCCGACTCCTTTCGGATACAGGAGGATGTTGCAGCCTTTCATTCAGCAACTCGAGAAAGCAAACGATGAGGACTAAAGAACCCAAAAAAGATGTTTTTTGCTGGCAGCACACACCATGATGGTCGGACAGAAATCCAAAAGAAAAAACCATCGTTGTCTTCACCTTCCACGATAACTTGGGGATGCTGCTTTCGTTTCTTGGAAGCTAAGATGCACGCTCCAATGCGAAGCAGCCACTGCCCCTTGCAGCAGCTCTTATGTCAGATCAAGAACCCACATCTACGTTCGCAAGGGCAAAAGTGTGATGTACCGTCTGCCACAGTTTTGGGAGGCCTCCTTGCATCCGCCCTGGGTCCTGCACTGGACTCTCATGGACAAGCTCAGGGCCTTGTGTTCCAGCCTGGCGAAGGGCTGTATTTCCCGAAGCGCCTGGGATCTGAAACATGCTTCGGAACAGATCTCAGCCAAATACCCAAGCCCAAAACCTGCCTGTTCAAGTTGCTGCTCGCGCAACTTCTGCTTCCTCAGCTGCTCCTTGGGCGAAGCTGCACGAAGCATGCGACGCAGCCACTTTCTTGTGGTATGGCCGATGCCTGGAGCTCTGCACGAGCTTCGCCTCCACCTCACAATGGCTCAGGCTCATCCGTATTTCTCATGGAGATGTGGCTAGCGCAATGCCTGAGAGACGCTGGCGGATCTCTTTGAGCCGTCTTGCCTTCACATCAGGCAGTCAGTCCACAAAGCGTGAGCCCCCCAGCTCTACAGCCTACAGCCAGCACCTGGCACTTCCCTATTTGCGAATGCACCGGTCAGCTACCCACTCCTGCCTCGACTATGATTGGCTGTTGAGCAGGCAGCTGGAGCTAAGAAGCTGTAAGACATGTTGGCTGCAGGCGATGCCTCCCGTCTAGCTTGAACCTCCTTCTCACGCGTTCTCAGGAGGTCCTGAAAGCATCAAAGGGACAGCTCAGCTACTGGCAGCAAAACCATGTAACAGGCTGCTGAGCAAGTCCTCTTCCTGCTTTAGCTCCTCTTGATAAGATCGAACCTCGGAGCACAAACACGAAGGGTAGGCGAACGCTAGCTGCACGAATGAAGTCTGCTAGGCAAGGAGCCTGAAAACTCATCCTTCAGAGGGTCGTGAATCTGAACTTCACACGTGTGGCTAGCAGAGCAATGTCCTCCTCAATCCGCAAACATGGCATTGGAGCGAGGCTAAAGATCTGAAATCAGAGCTTGCTTTTTTGAGTGGCAAAGTGGTGGCTCAAACTGCGGGTCAAGGTCGAGGTCAGAGGCTTCAGAACATGTGCCAACTTGCGATGTTGCTGCTCAGCGATTGAGCCACACTCGCGCTGCGACCTGAACAACTCCTGCTTTGCAAGAACCGGAACTCACCGTCTAGCAAGCCTATGGCATTTCATTGATTTTTGCGTCGCCTCTCTTGAGTCCTGTTGAATCTTGAACATGTTGACAGCCAACGCAAGGTTGAAGCTGCTAATCTTTCGAGTGCTGGCATGGTCACTGTAACTGCCAAGTGCGAAGCAGTAGTCAGGGGTTATGAGCATAGGCTTTGAGCATGCTTGTTTAGCAGCTTCTTCACTTCGCGATGAGCTGCATCTGCCATGGGCATGGTGAGCTCAAAGCGGGGAACATCCATCTGTGAAGCTGTTGCGGCCCCACCCGTGTCACCCAGCGCTCAAAAGCGTCACATTCCAGGCACGGGACTGCGCAGCCCAATTGGCCAACGGGAACCTGAAACCTGGATTGGCAAGTCAATGGGCAGCCTACAAGGCGCACAGGAAGATCAACTCACCAGGCCACTTGGCCGAATCCTGCCAGAAGATGAGCATCAAGAAAGCATTCCAGCCCTTGTTTCAATAAGATCTACCCCTGCTGGAACATCATGATGCTTTTCTGTGTGGTCCCGTATAAACACAGCGGATGGTCCTAGGCCGCTTCCAGCTCTTCTGGAGAAGGGTAGGCCTCTGCCAGGGTAAGCTTCGCCTTGTTCACCTCGCTGTCATCCTTAGTGACTGAGCTCAGGGAAAGACAGCTGGACACAGGTCAAATGAGCTGAGACACGCCACTTTTGCTCTCAACATAGGGCTTGCGATTGAAGATGCGAGCGACCATGGGCTCAAAGTGTTCCAAAGGCAATGAATCATAACTAGGATCAAAAGAAGGCGCATCGTACTTCTCACAGAATGTCTCGCAAGCCTTCCAATGAGGACTGTCCTTGAACCGATCTCTGGAGTTCTTCTCCTTGAGGTCGAATGCATCCTGATAATAATACGCCTGAAAGAGTTCGTGGTGAACGAGAACCCAGTAGTTTTCTGGGCTGATGTACGGGCGCAACAGGCTGGCAACTATCTCACCATGATTGATGGGGGACCAGCACTCACCTAGGTCATGCAACAAGGCGACCACGACCGTCTCCTCATCACAACCATCTCGGTATGCCCTTGTGGCTGTCTGGAGGCCATGCTCGTACAGGTCAACCGCGGTCCCAATGTTCAGCCCCTTCTGATCACGGAACATTTTCAAAATTCGCTCTGCATTATGCGCTGGAGATGCTACTTTGTTGAAGCCACGCATCATCGGAGCGCAGTCTTCCTTCCGGGCTTTCTTCAGGTCAGTAAATGCAGCCCGGTCATCCAGCTCACTCTCTTCCCTTTCGCGAACCACACCAACCATGGCTCCACGCAGCTGCAACGCTACAACTAAGCGATTGAGCTCTAAGCTGGCTGCAGGGATGCAGCTTCAACTTCAGGCTCCAAGGCCCACTCCACACATGAGCGAATGCAAGCCTCTAGACACTCAGGACAACCGAGGCAGGAAATATCATCAGGCACGCGATCACTGTTTCAAACCGACCCCATTTTCCGACCCGCTCATTTCCCCTTGTTACTGTTTTCCCGGCTTCGCCCTCCGATGAAATCTGGGTCCGGGCGGACACCACACGTACAGATTGAGGAGGCGTGTGGTGGGCCAAACCTGTTTTCACCTATTTCCATCGTTTTCACACTCGTCCGTCACTTTCACACCCCCCCCTTTCCCCACCCCTGTGAAAGCGCCCATGGGCAAAGAAATTCACTCATTGATTGCAATCGCCCATCGGGCAAACGTCGTTAGCCATGTGCTTCACCACACACACACACATGACAGCCAAGCGCCAAGCTCTCATTGGCCGAAAGCGGCTACACTTCACAGCTGTGAGGTTTTTGGATATCCACTCACTCTCAGCCAGCATCACACTGAACCAATTTCCCAGCAAGACATCCCTCGATCGCTTCACCTTTGCCAGCTGGCACCTGCAGCACCCCAAGCTGATTGCCTTCGGTCATGTCTTAAGCACCAGCAGCGTCGAACCCTTCAAAAGTTGTGTACTAGTAGCATCATCGTGGGGCTGAAATATCAGATGGGAATTCGTGTTCCACGTGCATGTAGAAAAGTGCATTGTTGCCATATTGCCATGACTGGCGCCCGGTCATGTCACAACAAACAGCCCGACCATCAGCTCCGCACCGCTCTGGCTGTTACCAAAAAAACTTAGGAAGATGCAACAGGAAATTTGGGGATTGCCCAGCCCGTTGGCATTGGCTTTTGCGATGGGCATTGGCACTACTTGACACTTGCAGTTGCGCTTCAGACTAGATTGTTTCGTCTTCTTTCCGTCAGCCTTATTCTAATCATGCACGTGCTTTCAACCTCATAACGACATGTTGTACCCGTGATCCTATCCGTTATCCGCGTTTTTTGATTCACGCTTGGAGCAGACGCAACGTCTTGATGAAGTTCGCGACCTCCTCCTGCTTGACGGAATTCCTGCCACGATTTTGCACAACCTCTCTCTTAGCCGCATGCCAACTTGCGGCGCACCCGCCAAGCCGCAGCCGAGAAAAGGGCCGCTTCGCCCATGCTGTGCCAAGACCTGAAACACACCAGGCTTTGCTTTCACAAAAACAGTGTGTGCGCAGCCGATGGCCCAGTGCCGAAGGCTGCCGGGTTGCAACTCAAGTCCTCGGACTTTAGAAGGTTCTGCTCCAGACCGATCTCATCCAGCGAAGATTTCGGCAAGTTCTCAGCCAAGACCTTCAGGTGCCCCCCGACTGGCAAATGGTCAATGTGGCTCTAACATACACAGCCTCTTAAAGGGGATGCTTGACATTCGGCCATACGTTGAGGGTTGAGGCAGGCAGTCCAATCTCCGAAGCCTTCAGCCCAGAGCTGTCAATGCTGTTGCTGGCCAGCTGGATAGACCTGGAAAAGCAGCATTCAAGTGTGGATCCTCAGCTCTGGGCTCGTCCAAGTAATCAGCTTCAAAGAGGTGTATGGAAGTTGTTCAGCAATGCTGGTGAGGTCCTGCAAGTCAATGAACTCTCCACTCTGCCTGTGTTGAAATCCCAGGACACGTCCGCGTCCTCCAGCAAGAGACCACAATGCACCAAAGCCAGGTCCTAGCACTTTCACAAGCTCCGCAAGCTCCAAAGCTTCACGTTATTTCACACGCTTTCACGTTGCTCCTCCAGCACTGGAGCCTCCATGACCTGGCAAAGGAAGTGAACAAAAAAATGTCTCTTCAGAGCCCTTGCGGTTGGCCTCTGCCAAGATATCACCAAGGCCGGTCAGTTTGTTTGCAGAAAGGTGCAGAACGTTCAGTCGGAGCCTGGCCATGTTAGCCCCATGTTAGCCCTTGCACTTTTCTGACAGCCAAGGACGGGGCTTCCGGCCTGGTTGCCTCCTTTGCAAGCAGCGCAAGCCCATCGTGGCCCAGGCCGCAGTCTACCAGTCTGCAAGCACAAAGGAGAGATAGCACAAATGAGCCCTGTGGACTTGGTTCACCTCAGAGTCGAAAGCCGGCCCTGCAATGTCAACAGAGGCTTCACGACTCGCACAGCCGCGTCGCCTGCACCGTGCATGCGACGGGCAACAGAACCACTGCCAACTACAGTCGATGACATAGTCACAACCCTACAGGTATTCTTTCAAGCCATGCAGCATGACAACTCTTGCACTGTAGCGGCTCACTGCTAAGCCAAATTGAGGGCTCCAGCTTAAAACTCGACAGTCTAAGTGATGTCGGGTCGGATCAAACCCTTGACATCGAGCAAGATCACAGCAGTCTCAAGTAGACAAAGCAGATGCGAGTGCCAGCAAAACACTACAGCCTAGCTGCGCATTGAAGGAGAGGTCCAGATCCTCCAAGGCCACCCTCAGCGCCAGCTTTCCCCACAAAAAATCTATGGCTCTTTCTTGCTATTCTGGGACCGAGCCCACAACTCCGCTTCAACAACCGCGGCGACCAGCTGTTGGACGCCTAACACTTGGAAACCACAAACGAATCAAACACACAATAGATAGCAAATCACAGGAAGTCAACACCACCAGGCCTTGTATCCATGGGGTTGCATGAGGGCCCATACTTGTATCCCGTTACCCAATCTCTTCTTGGCCTGCTTCGCTTAGCTCATGGTTGTAGGGAAGCTCCAGCGCCTGAGACGCAGTTTGCGTTCCAAACTTCAGGTCAGGTTGTCTCAGGCGTCAACCACCAGCTCAGCCCGCTTGCCATGTTCTCGCAAGGCCTGCTCATCATCGGCAAAATGTCCTTTTCTATTTAATACTTGGCAAGTGCTTGGTAGTCACTTGACCTTAGCTGGGCCAAGTAGTCAGCAAAAGAAGTATATGGCCTCGGCCAGTTCCCCGGCATTGCCATCGCTGACGCACGACTTCAGTGCCAGCACCGGCGTGGAGCCACTGGCAGAAAGCTGGGAGAAACAACAAATTCAGCATGCATGCAGGGTCTTAGAAGCTCAGTCAGAGAAGTCCCGAAGCCTCTTCAATCGCAGCAGTGCAGCCACAGCGCGGACACTGATGGCGGCAAAGGCCTTCAAGCACATTGCGAAATAGACACCCTGCTCCGGCACCAGATGTCATCTTTTAGCAATTGCATCTCACTACAAGAAATGCCGACACTTTGCACCTCAGGCAGCAATCCCCATACCGCAAGCCTCAAAAAAGCTTTATCGCCATCTATGAGCTTCAGAACGCCGACAGCTCTGGACAGCCAAAATGCTTCCGTCCTTGCAGGCAGCGAACCATCAGCGGCCCATTTGATGGTGGCCAGAATCCTCAGCAGAAAAACAGCCGGGGGATTGTAGGCGTGCCCGCGCTACCAACGCAAAAAAGAGGTTGCGAGGCCTTGTGGTGGTAAGCTTCGCCCCAAACCAATTCCATAAACTGAGGCTGCTGGCTTTTTGGAAAGACAAACAAGAGAAGAAAAGTGTTTGCAAACCGGCTCGGTATGGCTTGAGCACGGCTGCTTGCTTTTGCAGCGGGACCCTGAACACATTCTGGAAATTCATTCCCATGTCTGAAATTCTCCTTAGGTGGGTGATGGCGACTGGCTCGAATTCAGGAGTCTTCTCAATGCAAGGACACTTTGCGGCTGGGGATGTCTTGCGGTCGTGAACTACAGGGATCACATGCGGTTGAGCGCTTCGGGGGTACAGCTGTTGGAGCATTTTGGCGTGAGTTGACTATTGCTATGCTCAGGCTCATGCAAGCGCAACCTTTCGGTGTCGGTTCTTTCACCTTGATATCTGTTGGAAAATTCAGAACAGAAGTAAAACAAATTCCTGTTTGCATTTGTCTGCTCGCTGCCCTGACGTGCAATTGTTTATTCGGCAACAGCTCGCCCTTCAGTGGGCTGAACGAAAGCCAGGAGAGCCCCAAGCGCACTCCACAGATTGAGTTCAAGGACAGCATGCGGTTCCCGACCGCAGGGTATCCCTGCGCATTGCCTACCGCAGAGTATCCCTGCAGTGCCCAACAGAGCCAAACCGCAGAGTATCCCTTCGCTGCGCCCAAACGCAAAGTATCCCCCCAGTTCCCAACATGCTTGCAATGCCCAACCCCACAATCTCCTTGCACGGTATCTTCGCAACTTTTGCAAAGCACCCTATAACCCTGATAACCCATTTGAACGGAACCCATGTGCTTTCAAGAATATTTTTCTCCTTGTTCAAATCGTTCAGCGAGCTGATTCTGGATTTCTGCTTGCACTGATGGCAGGTACGCGCAGCTGGTGTCCCAACCGCATATCCTGGCTCGGGGTAAGCCGCATGGAGTTTCGTTGGCCCGAGCCATCTGGAAAGCCGCCGGATCCCCTGCATTCAAATCATGTTTTAGATACCCGTGTGGTCATGGACTTCCCCACACACCTTTCGAGGAGAGGGTAACATCACAGTACAAGGCAGATATGTCCACATGGGTAAAGAACCATTACACGCAAGCATATCATCGCGCTCAGGATCCTTCCCATACTTTTCAATCTCGAATTCTCTCCCAATAAATTTTGAAGACGGAGAACAAACTTCCATCAAAATCACAATCAAACTACAATTAGATGCTGCTCCTGAGAATCCGCCACACATCCCACTCTGTAGTTGTCATGACGTTACAATTTGTAAGGAACCCCCTTCTAGCCAGCTGAACATGTGCCATTAGCATTGTAATAGGTTTGCACTGGACTGTCGCATCTCAGTGACTGGTGGGGTCAACAATGGCCTTCTGGGCTTCTTGTCTGGAAATCTGTGTGAAAACCATTGTTCCTTCGTAATGAAAGTTGAATCTGCCACGTAATGCATGGCTGGCATGCTAAGGCACAAGCATGCAATCACCTACCACCTGAGCTTGAAGCGGCTGACAGTCACAGACTTGTGAGGTGCGACACACATCAGCCGTCATTGCGGCATGTGAAAAATCCTTTTTGCATGATGTCATGATTGGAATTCTCTATATGCACGCCATGTGGAGTCGGCTGACTCCTGGGATATCTGGCGCGTAGAAACCATTGATTCTGCAGACGTGCCAATCAAAGTGCGGATGAGTGGAGACCGTTCTTCCTACAGATGCATATTCCGGGACTGGAGCCGGCGCGAATGAAGTTTCAATCTAGTTCACTTCAAGTCCGTGTGTGCTGCTGCCGTCTAAGCTCTCCACAGATTCAATATGTCTGCTAAGAGTAAAGTTCCATTGCATGAGTCTGCGTGTGTGCCTTCCTGTACGCTTGCTTGTTCTGTTGCGCTCGAGTCCTCTTGAATTAGAGTCAGGCTTGACTGCGCTTTTTGAGGCAAGCATTCATGTTCTCACAGGCTAGGATCCTTGTAGATCCATTCAGCACCGTGTCCTCGGAGCACTTGCATGAAGAAGGTGTTATTTCAAGCAGCATGGCGGCTATAGCATCGGACGAAGAATCATGAACTGGACCACTGGCGGGCCCAGGCGCAATTTTCTTACGTGGCTCGTCTTCCAGACCAACTTCGATTATTGCAATCCCAACAAACTCAGACATCAACTGATAAGGATGCAACAGGACGTTGAGCCTCTTCAAGTAACCTTTTAAACCACTTGCCCAAAGCGTGCTTGAAATTTGAGAGACAATTGACGCAACGAGACAACCAATCATCACGCTGTTTCTTCGGATTTGTGCAGAGCTGCGAGTGGATCGAGGTGACATGTAGTCTCAATTAGTTGCCTCAAGGCTGTGAATGCGACGTGTGTGCCTGTTTCAAGATCATCTTAGGCTTGAACGGCGCAAGATCTGCTGTGTGTTAGGTAGCGATCATGAGCCGGAGCCGAATTCCTTTGAGAGAAGATGCCACGTGCAGTTTCCTTGACCATCTAACTTTGCTTGCTTTGGCGACTTCCCGTTCGACTTCGAGCACGGTTAAATACATTCTCAGACGTGAAGTGTAGGGGGTCGCAAGTAGAGCAGCGCGACTTGCTAGGTTGCGTGAGGGAGATTCCAGGATCAGGCGTTCTTTGCCCGTTCGCCACACACATTCTTTGGGACTACATGCCAGTAGACTGGATCATTCGCTTGTGGTTGCAGATGAAAGGAGGGGTGCATATTCCCGCACATCATCTGGCAGTGTTCCCACCCCAGAAAAGCCAGACCACGTTCCAGATCCAGAAGCCGCCAATGCACAGACATCGTGGATTGAAGAAAGCGTACTCTGGGCAACGGATCCTTGAGAAACTGACATGTCTGGGGAGTCATCGAAGACAGGTACCTCGTCTCATTCAGGTGGTCATGGTACCGGACGGCGCTGGCACAATTCAGATATAGATACGTCCTGCTCTTCAACACAATTTCCTCCTGCAGAGTGGGGTACCGAAGAGGCCTGCCCCATGAGACTCACAGGCTGTGCACCTCCTGCTAGATGGCCTGCATTAACGGAAAATACGGAAAAGACGCTGTCAGTTGCAGACGGGACCGAAATCTGAGCGTCACGATACTCAAGCACTGGCCCCTGCAGAATCTCCGATGAACCATCCATCGTTCGCGGGATTGGGATCGACACCGGTAATCGAGGAAACGGCATGAGTTGAAGGTGTTGGTGGGCGCCCTTTCAACGATGCGTTTAAAGCTACAGCATTCAATGCAGGCACAACATTGCCTGAAGTTGCGGTTGATCGAAGACAAATTAACGCTGCACTTGAATCAACATCACTCAATGTAGGAGGGCATCTGCCACAGTATCTGTGAATTGCACACGCCGATCAATTGAACGAAGTGCGCACTTCCACGATCACGGCCCATGATGGCAGCATGGTCGGTGGTGGTAGCAAAGCGACATTTCCAACTGGCAGTGCCCATTGTAAAATGTACTCCTCACGAGGCATCGATCTCCCCTTTATAGTCGGCTTGTGCTCTCTCATCTCAATCAGAGTCCGACGTGGACCAGCACGACCTTTTGGCCTTCCTCAACGAGCTGTGCCTCCTCAGCTCCTTGATTCTGTTATCTGATCAGTTTTTTCAGAGAGCAATGACGATGAACAAATGCGGTGTATCAGGCACAGATTATGGCATGATGCACAAGCGAAGTCTAACAACATTCACACCAGACTGTCGCAAAACTACCACAGACATAAGATTGAGTCAAAGTGCGTCCTGAGCCCGTGAAAATTTCATGTGGCTGTGGGCCTCTCCGTGGCGACTGTGGCCTCCATTGGCCTCCATTCAAACCCACCTCGGACCCCCATTAAGGTACTGAGATCCTTCCATTGTTCAGAATTTCACCAAGGACTCTTGGGCCCATTCACCTTGGGAGGGTAAAATGAGCTGGACACCCGCAGGATTGTTTTCACGTTTCCGTATAAGGTCGCACAACGACCCGCGCAGCGCATTGCAAGATGACTGCGGTTGGCAACATTGGCCCCGGAGTCGAAGGAGCTCCACTGTACTTTCTTGGCCGTCCATCGTAAGGGGAGAGACCAGCATGCTCATCAAGAAGCTGAATTGCTACCACATATGGCCTGGCAACCCTGCCACAAGATGTCCACATAAGATACTCACACATGTTCACAGTCACTGCAAATCAAACAGCCTGTTGTCCCGGTTTGTTCCGGAAAGCTGCATCATCTCTGCCACGGAAACATGGCTTCCGCTCTGTCCATCCAGGTACACAAGGGTCATCAGCCCCTGCATCTACTGACTTGCCATAGCTTCGTTGGACTGGATAGGCACGTCAGCTCCAGCCCCTCTGCTGTCAAACTGACATCTATGCTGCCCGTGGTGTGTTTGTCCAGTCAAAGAGTTCCAAAAACCTTACTTGTGCCGGGGTTAACACACATCAGTCGGTCAGAATACACCTCATCTACTGTGGAAGCTGGCATTGGGAAGATTTCACATCAGCGGGNNCATCAGAAAATGGTAATCCCCATGTAGACGCTGCCTCCAGGGCAAACCAAGGTAAGGGCAGATTTCCCGTTTAGCTGTGGACGCTGGGGTTTTAGAAGAAAATCACAAGATTCAAAGCTCAAATTTCGTATGATTCCCCATGCAGACGCTGGTTTTTGCATATGCCCCAACATGGGATGATGAGATACTGTCATTTCCCGATTCATGTAATCAGTTCACATAGAAATCCACCCAAACACCCAAACATTTTATGCGTAATATCCTATCCGAGATGAGTGGTATCTTCTAGTAACTCTAGTATGAGGATCCCCCCAGTGTGGACGCTGCTCAACAGATACAACGACGCCATACAAACATGCCGCATCATGTATGGACGCTGTGGAAACAGAACAACTGCAAGAATTGCTTTTGCACCACATCTACTCAAGCGCATGATTTTGAACTGGGTCCCCCAGTGTGGACGCTGCTCGATGCGTGAAAAACCCAGCCGATGTGAGATAACCTGGCCCCATGTAGCTCAGAATCAGGGCTTCCTCACATGCACCTGAGGCTGTGTCCAGGACAGCATGGCGCCGGCGAAGATGCACAATATCGCAATCTTGGGCGCATCCATTGAGATCCCCTGTCATTGACTACTTGTGCCAGGCTTTACGCTGACGGAAGTAAGAAATTACATGGTGCGAAAGCACGTGCTTTTAGCACCTTCGGCTTCGCGGCCTGGCTGACAAATCATCAGTGTCATTAGCACAAGGGCCACAGCAATTCGTGCACGCTGTCCTCGTCTGCTGATTCACCTGAGCTCGGAAAAACAGCCAAGTCTGAAACTTCCCGTCGCTCATCCAGGCTCAGGCTCACTGTAGCATTGGCCTTGTGCAACACATGGCATCAAGGTGCCGAGCATGAAGTCACAAGAACCCCGCAACTCGCACCTCCGATAGCTCAAGCAATTCTTGCTGGACTTCGCACTCACCTGTCCTGATGGCACGACTGTCATGACAAGGCTGGGAATCGATTTATTCTTTCGGAGCTGCTCTGTCCGTGGACCAGCATTAAGTTTTCCACCCTGTCGGCCAAAAACTGCAGGGTTGCATCTTGCAGCAGCAGCAGCAGGGTAGCGCAGCAGCAGGGTAGCACTTGCGGCTAACTTCAGGCAGCGAACATGATTCCTGCAACAGCCACCGCGCCGGAATTTTGGCGTTTTTTCGGGGTCATTCATATCATGAGCATCGCAGAGAGCACTAGCCTCCAGGAATTGTGCACGAATAACAGAGCTGGCCAGCGATCATAGAAGCTTCTGCAGAGATAAAACCATCTTAATGCTATTTGCTGCTTCTTGATGCTACACTGACAGCCGCCAAGCATTTTCAGCGACCCTTTCTTGTCCTGTCTGCTTAGGCTCTGAGGCCCCTAAGCTAGTATCAGTGCAGCCTAGGGCCTGGCGCTTATCTGTTGTGCTTGTCTGCTTGTTGGAAAGAACCTCGCGCAAGCGCATCCCCAAGTCACGTTGTCCGAAGTCGGTTCGTTGTGAAACAGGAATCGGTTTAGCGTTGTTCAGCAGAGTGGGTATCGGCTCCTCAGGAGCTTAACGTTGCCCCCCCCCCCCCTCACTCCAGCCCGTGTTTTACGACGTGGTTTATCTCTCTGTCTTTCTCCTCTTCTCTCTGTACTTGGCACAGTTTTCAAGTAGCTTGAATTTTCACTCGCCATGTTGCATTACAGCGATATTATCTGATATTATCATGTTGATTCGGTTCACTGTCTCATTTTATCCAAACATTCACTAGATGTCAACCGTTGACCATTTACAATTATGTGGTCATTTAGGGGACGCGGACGCATCTATTCATTTTACTGACGCCATCGCTGTCGCGGTTTATCGCGCACACCATAAAGGCGCTGCCAATCTTTACCTTAACACTCGTACAAATTTCCACATAGAGGGGTTTTCCTATTGCAAGAAGAAGGCTGGTATCCATCATGTCTCCTTATATCCCAGATGACATTGTTGTGCGTACATGATGTTTCTCATGCTGTCAAAAACCTGGTTAAGTACATGCTTGTGGCGCAGTCGATTTCCAACGCTCGAAAGCCTTCGCATTCGCTTTTTCGGGGAAACGCTTTTGTCAGCCTGCAAATTTCGAGAATAGTAGCCGCAGCCCTGAAGTGTCCTGCCTGATGCGACCCCTTTTGGGCTCCTTGCGAGCCCGACAGGCCTTGCAGTGCCTCTAGCGGGCGACGGGTTCAAGGGTCACGTGGTTTGCAAACGCTCCGGCTGGCCCACTTCTCCAATGAGAAAAACACAGGGAAAAGGTTTCGAATGGGCACCCTAACGAGCAAATCGTCAGTACTTAGAGTCCTCTCCGAGCATGGCAGCCCAGTGGCCAGCACCTGACACGCAACACAGCGGGTCTTTCCCTACCGAGTGGAGAAATGCGCCAGAACGAAGCATCAAACTTCAAGACGATAGCATTTCTTTCTGGGGCAGAGGCGAGCAGCGCAGAGAACACGATCACCTTCGCAGATAACCCAAGGAAACGACCAAAGAACGATCCACCGCCAAACTTTTAAATCACAAACATAAGCCTGCCAAGTGCAGCGAAAGAAGAATGGATGATTGACCATGGCTGTCCAAAGCACTGGCAAGACTTAGCATGCCTACGAGTCGCTAACTAGATCAGACAGATCCATGCTACTGCATTTTCCGGCTACATGACGCATGTCTCCTGGAATTTGAAGCTGCAAAGGAGATCAGATGTGTCTGCACAAACCTGCCTTCCTGCCATGAATGCCTATCCCTGGCTTGGCAAACGCATCCCCCTCTCATTTCTGAAAAACTAATGGGATGCTCATGGTTTTCCGCAGTGCTTTTGCACTGGGGCTACTACTCCTGCCCGCATTTGCCTCACAGCTCTACCTCTAGGCAGAATGTGTGCAATGGGCCCAACGTAACTTGCAGAGACTAATGACTTGCCAGCACTTGGACAGCAGCGCAGAGCACGCAAACTCTGACACTGCGGATTGCTTCCAGGCTCAAGGGCAAGCTGCACTCCATCCCAGGAGACAAATGAAATACAAAAGTGTTCTAGCCACGTCAGATGCTGCTTTTTGGAAAGCAACAAACAAAAAAAAAAACAGGTCAGCCTCGAAGCAAATACTCCAGACTGTTTACTACAGCCTCCATGATGCTCGCTAAACTACGACAGTGTGACAGCAGCAGCTTGCTTTGGACATGGAGGAGTGACACTTCAGTTCGAGAGTCAGATCAAGCTGAACGAAGGGGAAGAAAGAAGTCACGGCCATCGGAATTCGCGAGCTGCACGTGCCTGCGGCGTAGAGCTGAGGAAAGCTGTCAAGCTGACCAGCTCCCCACCATACATTGCACTCCAGCGAAGCTGCAACCACCAGCCCAGAGACAGCACACATTTTTCAAGCACGCGCTCTTCGAGCGGAGTGCATGAGGTATAGGTCTAGTCTAAACACGCATAGCCAGTCATGGTATGACTTGGACTAGCACCATTTGACAATGAACCAGGCATTCAAGCCCAGCCCAATCAGTGATGCAGGCCTTTCATCACACCAATCAATCATGAACTACCCATAGTGCAGCATGAAGTGCTCAGAGAACACCACGCCGCTTACCAGGTTTTTAGCAGAGACTGTGCCAACAGATTCTGTTGATGGCCGTTGGCGGTTTAAATTCTGCCCTAGGACTAAAAGTATTCCAAATGATGTCTAGTATCACACCTCCTGCTGCACCAATGAATAGGTATGACGTGGAGAGTGGCGTGCTACGACACTGCAACTGGGAATTCGTGCAACAAGTCAGTGTTGGTGCACTTATCGCGTGAAAGCATGAGTGTTGCAGTGCCACTACTCGCCAGCCGACTACTCATATGACACAACACCGACGTGTAAGGAATGTTTGTTGAAGACGCGCACAAACATGCTTGCGGGCCGGAAGGCTTGTGTTTATGACTGAGCAGTACATCCCTCGCCTCGGTGTCCTGAGCCAGTCACCTAATTGATGCAGCTGAAAGATGTAGCTTCGCAGCAGTCCTGCATCTACCGAAACATGCCCATCATAATTTCAGTCAGAAGTCAAGCTAGCAATTGGCTGTGCAGGGCGGCATGCATCCCGAATTTCAAAGACGATTGGGAAATTGCAGACCAGGTTGGGGCCTGGGGTGCTACAAAGCGAGATACTCATTAACCAAACCTGACCACCCGGCGCGGCCAGGCGTCAATCAGAGACTCCAGGCACTTTGGACCAGTCTACCTGGGTCATGCCACGAATGTCTAAACGAATCTGCCATGTCACACTATGTAGACGACGGAACTATCGAGCAACATCCAGCGACATGACTCAACAACTTCTGCCCGATCGACAGGAGGAAGCCAGACCGCGTCGGCAATGACGTCTTCGTCAGGCACATGGCGCCCTCGACTCGTTTCCCAAACGTACCATAGCCTTCAGTGCCAAAATGGATCAGCGCATGCTCTCTTGCTCTCACACAATTCGAACAGGCTGTCGCTCACGGGCTTGCTCTCATCAAATTTTATCAAGTCGCAACTCGCTGTTGCCAGGATTTTCTGCACCTGGCCAAGCTTCCGGGCTCACTAATTCCGGCCCAATTGCACAGTCGCATGCACCTTTGGCATCCGCGAAGGAGTTCGCGACATCTCCGCCATGGAATCCTTTGCTGTTCGGCATGCCTATCACATGACTGTCGTGTAATGTGCTTTAAGCCCCTTGCCAGCTTCGAGGTCAATGATCCATCGCCTAGGCGCTTGGCACACCACCGGGCAAAGCACAAAGAAAAACATTCCAGAGGTTGCCATGTCGAGGCACTCCTCTGCTGGCCAGAATCGGATCACATGGTCATTATCTGCCTGCCCAGAGATCCAGTGGCCACAATGCGAAACGTCAGAGGGCTATATACAGACTGGCAGCTGCGGTCCGGGAAATGATTCTGGAGAAGAAATTGGGCTGCATAAGTCTAGTCCATGCATGCACTGCTTTCTAAATGCCAATGTCATCAATTGAAGTCAGCATCGAATTAAAGAGCTGCATTGCAGGTGACATCAACTTACAGAGAAAATGGATGAAAGTTCTCCAGACCTTTTTGTAGGCAGGCTTGCCCTCAACGATCTTGACCAGCTCGTAATCACCTGGATTATCAAGAGAACAAACTCTACACTCGAGAAAGTCCGCTGGCACATAGCTGCATGTCCCGAGCAACTCGTGGCATGAGCTTGTTACAGAGGAGACGTCGTAGACTGCTCTTGCTCTAGGTATTCTAGGTTATCTTGTTGTACACTGCACATCAGCCAGCATGTCCAAGAGTCCGTTGATCGTCGAGTTTTCTTTGTACGGGTCCCGGCCAGATATTCTCACGAAATGCGGCGCAACAAACCTTTCAGCAGGAGGTTGATGCATGGGTGGCCGCTGCAACTGCATGAGAAATCTGAGGTAGAACTGCACAGAGCTGTTCAGGACTCTCAATTAAGCTTGGTACGAGCGCACCGCTGGATCCGTGAGGTGCCGCCCACGGCTCGTTTCCCAGACGTGCCACACCTAACATCGAAGCCAACTGTAAACGACTTTCAAATGCCGTTCTATGCTAAAGCACCTCAACTAAATGCAACGAGGTTTTCTGCCAAGCAGCAAGGTTGAGGTGGCCAGGATGCATGTGCGCACCTGTTCCTGAGCTTTGCTGGAGCCAGGACCCCACACTGCGATTGCGGGGGTCTTGTCCCCGTAAGCTGTGAGGGATGCCTTTCTGTGCTTCTGACAAGAAACCACCTGCTTCCGCATAAGCATTGCAGATCTCTGTATCACGCCTAAGCTGCCGCAGCAGAACACTTGAGTATGAGTGACATGCATGCACATCGTTCGGTAGAAGTTCATCTCAGTTGGCAGGGGCACAGTACGGCTGCCCGTGCTCCAAAAAATGTTTTTATCCGTGAGGGTAGCCCCTTCATGCAGTCTTAGCTGCAAGCCGTCCAAGTCGATAAGCCACCGCTCCTCCCGTGGCCAATATCGGATGGCATGACCGCTTCCATCAGCCTGGCCCGTTGGAAAGCCAGGTGGAAAGAATTTAAGGGGAAGGGAGATGAAGGGAGATGAACGGAGGGAAGGCTGAGCTTGGCCTTCATGTAGGCCGGCTGCCCTGCGTGGAGGCCCACCTGACACTGCGCCGCTAAAAGGAACCTTTGCCTCCTACGCCGCGGACGAGGGGCCAAGTGGTAGCTGCCGTTCCTGGACTTGGACTGCTGTGTCAAATCCCCGAAGTTTTTCAAGCCAACCGGTAGTCACCACTGCCACTTACTTAAAGCTGCAAAGCTAGAATTTCCAGCGTAGCTTCATCGCTGTGTTCTCCTTTGGCGACTCCCGGCCTCATGCGCACGAGAAGGCTAAACCACAAAGCATGGGTCTGGAAGACTGAGCTAGCTGTGGCTGGAGTAAGGCCCCTGCCGACCACTTCGATGACAGATGGCGTCACCAGAGTGCAAAGACTGCTGTCTAGTATGTGACGCTGCCTGCACCAAGCTTCAGAGACAAGAAAAAAAAGGAAGGGATGGAAGCATCAGAACCTGACCCTCCGCCTAAAATACTCAGTACTGCCAAGTGTTGTTCAAGTCTGCCTGGTTGAATCCCAGATATGCCACTGGAGGCGAATCTCACCTCAGCTTGTGATTCCATGCTACCATGCCGACCTGGACCGGCTCCTGCACGCCACAAAGCATGGTACCGTCTCCTGTGCAACGTTCCGGCCTGGATAGCTGGTGCTCTGAGCATCCGCATAAGCATTGCAGATGTCCACATCTCGCAAGCCCTCCAAGTCAATAAGCCACCTGGTGCCAGAACCCATAGTCGCGGATCAGAGGTGGACGTTGGTTAAGTCCAAACCCAGTCACAAATGGCAAGTGAAAACACAAACAGATCTCTCTCGGGATAGCATACTGTGCCACAGTTTGTCTGGACATCCGCAGGGCAAGCACGCCCATCCAGCACATTTTTCGAGATTGCCTGGCCTATCGCCAACTCGCCAGTATCCTTTGCAGAACCGTACAGTGATCAGAGCCCTTCGTCACAACTGGCGTCAGCAAGTCTATCAGAATGTTGGCTCCAAGATGCGGATGGCGTGCCTTAGTGTAGCAACATGCAACATGGCGAGTACTACAGACTTGGTCAGGCAGCTCCACAAGAAACGCATATTCTGACGGGCGGCTTGAACTTGCCTGCCTTCTGGTAAGCGACTTTGCCCTGGTGAAGTCCAATCAGCTTGTACCTAGGCCGTGCTGCATATATCCCTTTGTCTGCTTGCAAGGCGACCTTTCCGGCCATGTGAAGGCTGAGCATTTATAGGGAGTGCTCGCGCTAGCAAGCTCCCCAGGCGTGCATCGGCTGCATGATCCTTGCTTCTTGAAGGTATGCTGACAACGGCCGGCAGACTCCACATTCGCTTCGGGCCCAAGACGTTCGCAGAAGAACTGGATTGGCAACGCTGCTGATTGGCAAAATCAAACTCTGAGGCGTCTGTGTCCCCCCCTTTGTCTTCAGAATGTTCAAATCTCTGCCGGCACGCCCAATATTCGCTGTCACTGGCGTTGCTGTCGCTATTGGCATCGGAGCTCGCTTCATAAACTGGCATGTTTTCAAGAGTCGACGGCAAAGCTGCTTCTTCAGGGGGTACCAATGAGTTCCCAACAGTCGTACCTTGGACCTCCATGGAGCCACTGGCAGAGTCATCGAACATGTTGTTCCCCTTCACAGTAGCCACCTTGGCAGCGCGCCAAGCTGTGGCATTCACAGCATGCTTTGATCTTGTGGCAGGGTTCACCTCCGGCGTGCCGGCATCAACAATAAACGTATCCGGAGTATCCTGCGCAACCATTTCCCGGCTTGTTTGATCCCAGTTAAGGGCAAGCTCGCTGTGGGCTGTAGCAAGGCTTGCAATGCTCACCAACTGAGGTTCCGAATCTCCCTCTTCACCTGCTTCTAGGATGCTAAGGTCCGCCTTAGCGACTGCATCCTCACGGCAGCTCACCCTACCCACGCGCGAGATTTTCAAAGAAAAGGATTTGCTCTTCTCTTGTCCTTTGTCTTCGCGCTCTGCTGGCGTATCCAGCTCCTGCAAAGGATTCGTGTTTAGATCAGGGACAGACTCCTCCTGTGCTGGTGCCCATAAGAATACCGGAGGCCCCATGGTCGCATAAGGGGGGCTTTCGTCAGCAGAGCTCTGACTGTAATAGCTGTAAGAGCTTTCGGAATCATCCGCGGGGCGCCTCTCAGGCAAGGATTCATGTTCATCGCTCTCTGGCGCATCTGGCATCGGCAAGGAATCCGTATCGACATCTCCATCAGACTCTGGTTGTGCTTGAGGCCATAAGAAAACAGGAGGGCAGCGCCTGCCAGTACAACGCGGAGATACAGGGTACGGATGGCTGACGGGAACGCTGCCAAGACAGACAGATTCAGACTTGATCGTGCACGACCGTGGCTGCCAAACGGGGAAACCTTGCAATTCACTAGCTCCCAACTTATCGCCCGCCTGGCAGGCGGCCGGTGCAGTGAGTGGCTGCTTTCGGCTCACAGCGTGCATCGGTCTTCCCGTATTCGTGCTTGACGGCTCAATATGAACAGCTCGAGGCGGAGGCAAGCGGGTCGGTATCAACGCGTGCATCGAGCCAGTGTTCAGTGCCGAGTGCCCTTGGCATCTTTCCGAAGACTCTGAGCCTCCTGTCAAGGTAGAAACCTGCTGGATGGAAGAAACAACACTCTCGCAGGAAGCACGAGGGCCACGCATACCTACAAAGAGCTGGCTGGAAGAAGTATAGAAACAAGAAATGCAGCTGCTGCAGGCTTCTGATGTCAGCTACAGGAACTAACATACTGTATGTGTAAGACTGAGCTCAGTTCTCTGGGCCGAAACCGCAACCGTTTATGACGTGCAAACTGGCATTCACAGCAACAAATGCCTCTTCTGCCAGGATGCTCACCATTTAGAGCCCAGTTCTCCTTTCCAGCGGCACGCCCCAGCACCTCGTGCTGATGACCACAGCTTTCCCTTGTGCTGGGTGCTTCCATGCCACTATTGTCACTATTGCCTAGCTTTAGGAACCCGACCAAGTGGTTAAAAGACTTGAGAATCACAGGTGATGCTGATGCTCTTTTCTGCAGTCAAGAATGCTTGGATGGTGCCCGGCGCTGCCGTGACGAGAAACCTCGTGATACCGTACCGACAAGGACTTCAGCAAGCACTTTAACAGCACATGCTGTATCACCTGGAACTGCAACAGCACGTAAAAAGCTACACACGCATGCGCGCACACGTGTCCACAGGTTGCAAACTATGACCCCTGGCCATAGAATAGACGTACCCACAGCCTGCGGACTCCCGTTTCTTGCAAGGCTGGCTGCTCAGGATCACGGATATGTTGCCGATGCTGCGACTCCCAAACGCGCCATCTAAGCACTCAGAGCAAGAACACTAAAGCCCGCGCCACTCAGCTAGAAATTGAAAGCCATCCAAGTCCAAGTATCACAAGCTCCTCGACTGCAGGGTGTCTCGCCCCACCCTGCTCTGCATAGGCATTGCAAATGTCAGACTCCTGCGTTTATACTCGGAGCCGAACTCAATTCAATGCCATGGCATGTTGGGCAAAGCAAGACAACTTTGAACTTCCAACGCCGGCATAGCACGTGATGATCCTGGACGCCCTCTCGGTCTATCAGCCAGCGGTCTGCAACCGGCCAATACCGGATCACTGTCCTTCAGGAAGGCTCTGTGGAATAACCGCGAGAGCTCAGGGCATGGTCTGAGTCTGAGCTCCTAGTACCCGGCTTGCGATAAGCAGGACGGCCATGCACCATACCGATCCTGTCAGAGAGATTCAGGACATGAAAAATCAGCAACTGTATGGCTGTGGTGGTTTGCTTGGTGCAACTAAGCTTCATGTGGTACTCACCTTGAAGATCCTGGTTCTCGCGCTCCTGCACAGCTGAGCTGAGAAGACTAAGCTGCTATGGCAACATAGCAGTGTTCCAAGGCTCCTTGTGGCGTCCCACCACATTAACCACAAGTGGATCATCAGGCTCGGCCATCCACTAAAAACGCGGACTGTACAGTTCCTGCTCCCTACCTTCGGTGAAGGCGTTTCACTCGACCCCCTCTCCAAACTTGAACCCAAAGCTAAGACATGTCGAAAGGCAAAGCTTTGCTCAAACTCCGTATCTGCATCTCGAAATCTACAGGCTTGCCACCTACGCAAATTCATAAGCTTGCTTTGAAGCACTGGAATTTCGAAACACCGAGCCTGCTCCCAAGCACGCTCACGTAGCAGCATACGAACATCCTGCTGCCATTGAAAGAAACCATACATACATACCTACATATATATATAATACATACATGCGCATGTATTCTCTGTATAATATATACATATTTATATATATGGGTGGTTGTCAAAATTATTGTCCCTTTTTGGATCCCTATTATGATACGGCACCTAGTATTTGGGATGCCCAAACAGGGACCATAATTTTGACAACCACCCATATATATATATATATATACATATACATACTTGGATGTAGGGCATGTACAGGCGCATGCTCATCCCTTTTAGGGCTAGTGCGGCACCCAGAGTCTGCCACAGCATCTCTCCAGTGTCAGAAACTGTCACAAGACTGTCTCAGCGAAAGAGGGAAAGAGCGAATGCCTCGCTTGCCGTGAGCTCAGTGCTTGCCGTGTCGAAGCCCCAGCATCTGTCATGTCTGCCACATTGAAGCTTTTATATAGTTTCAGTGACAAGCACATGGCAAAGAGGCTTTAGGCATGCGGTCGCCCGCAGCTAACCTCTGCAACATGTGCCCACCCCACATGCATCCTTCTACTAGGAAAGCAGCAGCAGGAATGCATGGGACGCANNATGCAAACTGGCAAGGAAGGACCTGTAACGAGAAATAACAACATTTTAGATGCACAGCTCTGCGCTGTGAAGGAAGCATGTCGGCGGCTTGTGGTCAAGCATTGTGGGTGTCTTACGGGTCTATGGGCCTTTTGTGCTTGGCTTGGGGCTGGCCACAGAAACCTGAGTCTAGCAGCTAGTAAGGCAAGCATCGCCGCCAGGCAGTAGAAAGCAATCATGCCGTTGCAGCTCGAAGGACCGGACCACAAACTCCTCCGAGCCACTGAGCGGCTCGTCAGTCCCGAAGGTTTCGCAAGGCCCCTGCCCAGCATCATCGGCACACTGTGATCTTTTCCGTATTACTCATAGAGGCGGGACTTTGGAGGCAGCGGAGTGTTGTTCCATCAACATGGCTGCCCGAGACGAAGACGAGAAGCACGTTAAAATACACGCATTCCTTTCTGAACGCCAAGGCACAGAGGCCCCTTTCAGGAATTCAGCGTCGATCCAGATGGCTGCAGACCTGGACGGGTTCCAACTGCATGCATCTGTCTTAGCAGTCTATTGCACGATCATGTCCGTGTGTAGATACCATATCTCGCACGTCGCACACAGATTCAGGCTTGTTCAGCACCAGCAGACTATGCATGCGCATTCGACAACAAATCTAATGCAACAACCATTCTCCCTGTGCGGCAGCCTGCCCCCTCCAACTTTCAATCCACCTCAAGCAGGAGTGCTCAATCAACACAGCTAGACTAGAGTAATTACACCGAGTACGGAAAATGCATAGCTACACAAGAACGCAAAAGATAATCTAAGATGGCCACTGTGCTGCAGAAGGACTTACAGTTTCTTCAAGACAGAGGAATCTAATGCAAACACGGGACCACGGAATCTGCGCAGATAAATGCGTCACACACGACACGATACGCAGAACACATCTCCACTCCCTGCTCTCCACTCTCCGTTCTATTCACTCCTTCCACTCCATCCACGTTCCATTCTCTACACTCCACTTCTATTCTCCTCGCTTCACTCTCTACACTCCACTTCCCGCTCACCAAAACTCTCGACTCTCCCGTCTCCACTCTCCACAACCCACTCTCCCCTCTATCCACGCTCCATTCCATTCACTCTGCACTCTCAATTCTCCACACTCCACTCCACATCCCACACTTCACACTCCGCTCACTCTCCACCTCCAATCTACATGACTATATGCCACGTTTCACTTCACTTTGCTCTTCACTCTCCAAGCTCTGGACCAGGATGCAAGGGTCGAAAAGAGAAAACTGTTATGAAGATGGCAACCCCGACACGTCCCATCCCTCTGACTGTTGGCGCTTTTGACACGCAGCGCCACAAGAAGACCAGGATCCAAAAGCGACAACAGTTCCATCCCTGTGAGCATTTTGACCGTGACAAGAAGGCAAGGCTCCAAAAGCGATGACAGCTACGAGAATGCAACCCCGACAAGTCCCGTGACTCATCGCGGCCACGGCGCTCACGAACGCTTGCGGACTCTTCGCGGACGCTTCGCGGACGCAAACGCTTGTGAACGCTTGCGAACACAAAAGCAACGATGGGTGGTCACCTCCTCAACTCAACCCCTGGACTCCTACCTTTCCGGAACCCGTCTGACCAGAAAAAATCCTTCGCAAACACCAAGGCCAGGTTTACAACGTAAACTTTGCAGTTGCGGGAAAGCCACTTGGATGCAAGAATTATTTCGGGGCATTATGTCACTTGACTCAGTGACCACAGGGTTTGCTGCCACCTGGTAGGCTTTTGGGGTGCGGATGTTTCCCCATTGGAGTGGTGTAGAAACAAAATTGCGCAACATGTCCTGGACTCTTTCCTTTTGCCCGCAACTGAAGAGAAGTCACACCCTCATGAGATCATCTGAGATTTGGTATTGAGCATCTGCCAACTTGACAAGGTTCCTTTCTGAATCATTGGATATTGTACTGTTGAGCGTCGGCATATACAATCCTTCCTCTTCGAGCCGCGGTACACATAAACACTCTGGACATAAACAAAACCTTGAGTGTCCGCGAATATCATGAACAATGCTGTCACCGAGATATCAGCAAGGAACAACTCAGCCAATGGCCATGGTCAGCAAAGAGAAAATACCGGTTGGCACCAGCCTGCCAAATTGATAACAATTTTGCACCTGGCAGATTTCTACTACACTTCAGAGCTTTGACCTCGCATGAAATGCGCTTCAGTGTGAAAGTCAAAAGACAACAACTGGCAGTGCATTTAAGCAAGCCGGCAGCACCCACGGATACAGCTCAATGTCCTCTCTTCCCTCCTGGCAGCAATTCCTCTCACGACCCAACCATGTCAGACTCAATGGCGATTCCCAGTTATACTGAAGGGAGCCCGGAAAAGGCGAAGCTTGGAGCTTTGGAGGCTACGAAGACTGTGCGTTCGAGCGTACGTGCTGAGGGCGAAGCAGGACCGTCCTAGTGGAAATAGATATTGCCCCGAGACAAAGATCATTGTCGTTGAAAATCGGAAAAGCTTGAAGATTTGAAGATGCGTTCTGCCTGCTCACACAAAAAAGCTTTACCCCCCAAGCATGCAACCGTGCGACAACGCCTCAAAGGCCCCAGACCAAAGGCCCCAGGCCAAAGACGGAATAAGACTGGCAGGGATGCATCACTTCCTAAAGGCTGAGTTCTCACAAACAAGGTTCCCTGTGCACAGCCGTAACGTTCATATGTTTGACCTGCTTACCCCTCGCCCTGCTAGTTCTGTCCCTGCCCACACGCTTCCCGTCTGTCAACTAATCTAATTAGTAGTTTCCATTTTCTTTTCCATTCTCCCTATAATTATACAACCCCTATATAACCCCTAGAGATAGATAACTTAGTATCTGCGTTGCCCTCCGCAGACAGACGCAAGCTCCTACCCGCAGCGACAGTGACAAGTGATTCTGCTTGCTATCTCAAATCAGCAATTTCCGCACACTGTTCGGATGACTGGAAGTAATTCTCCTCCAGGCCAAGGTATGCCACAGTGTGCCAATCAATGCTGCGGTCACTGCTCAACGTGGACCATGCAACGTACCAAAGTCTTGCTCAAGTTTCCCGCAGCAAGATCTGCAGCTCCTCCGTTTGCACAAAGCGGAACACGAAGCAACTCGCCTCGCCAAAATGAAGGCGGCTGGCAACCTCAGCAGCTCCAAAAACAAGTGACCTTTCATCCCATCAGATGTTCAACAACATTACCGCCATGATGTCCAGTACTAACCTCAAAAAGGCCTGCTCGTAGTCGCCTCAGCTTGTTTAAAAAAAAAAACACAGGAATGGCACTAGGCCTTCCTCGCGACGGCTCAAAACATGAAAGGCCTAAGGCATTATCCGCCGACCCCTGCCGGGGCGGCGTCAGTGAAGGCTTTGTGTTACTTTGCCGTCAGTGATCTCCAACAACTCTGCTCTCCTGCCCTTATTTACACCGCACCCCACCCTCGCCACTCCACCACACCACCCGACCTCAAACCCTCGCCTCCTGCCCTTATACCGCACCCCACCCTCGCCACTCCACCATTCCTCCTCTCACACTCTTCCCCACGCCGCCCGCCCCACCGCTCCCACCACCCTCACACTGCACTTTTATCACCCCCTCCCACCACTCTTCCCTGTCTAGAAAGTATGTTTTAAGCGGTCCAACGCGACCCCAACCCCGTTGCCCTCACCACCCCCACCACCCTTCCCACCCCACGACCACCCTCACTGCACTTTCACCACCACCATTTCCACCACTCTTTCCTGTCTAGAGAGTAGATTTTAGGAGGTCCAATGCGACAAACCCCCGCTGCCCTCACCACCCCCACAACCCCCACCACCCGCTCCTCGCACCCTACCCTGGCCACCCTTCCCACCTAGAAAGTAGATTTTAGGATGTCCAACCCCACCCTCGCCTCACCAGCCCCACCACCCTTCCCACCCCCACGACCCTTCCCACCCACCACCCCCCCGCTGCCCCACCCACCATTCTCACCACTCTTCCCTGTCCGTAGACAGACAGTATTAAGCGCGACCCCAAACCCTTGCTCCTGCCGCATCCCACCCTCGCCACTCCACCATTCCTCCTCTCGCACTCTTCCCCACGCCGCCCCACGCCGCCCCATGCCCCCACCACCATTCCCACCACTTTTCCCTGTCTAGAGAAAGGAGATTTCACTTCACCACCCCTGTATTCAGGCCCGGGAATCTCGGCAGAGATGTAATAATAGGATAGTGCTAAAGTAGAGTAGTAACACACTTGTTTGTTCTGCTTCAGACGCACGCGTACAGTACGCCTTGAACCACTAATGGCAGCATAGGCATGTAGCAGTGTGTGCATACACATATAAGGGATCAGGACACATAAGTATTGTCGTAGGCTTATATGGGTTCCCTTAGGGGGCCCCTACTTTCTACATCAAAACAGACACTTATTTTCTTAAGT